CAACGGCTGGGCTTGTAGCGTAGCTTTCCTCTAGCCGACGCATCCAGGCAAGGGTGGGCGTGATGGAGTTTGGATGGGCCCTGCGACAGCCTATGCGGCTTCTGGATTCACCTAGGCATGAGAGGGGACTGCCCGCTGCCTTGCGAGGAGTGGGGGTGAAACCTGAGGTGTGGTGTGCTTGGTTAGAGGGGGTTATGCGAAGGGTCCTGTCACGGCCTCTTTCCGGTATGTCGTGGTGGCATGTCGGCGCACGGAAACGTGTCGTGGGGCTGTGTCTTGTGGGTACAGTTGTACACCTCTGATCAGAGTAAAACTATTCGAATAGCCGTGCCCGCGGTTATGGGCGGTCAACCAGATTTACCGTGATTAGTCTTACCCTAGTGTAATCTTTTGAAATTGGATAGTTTAGGTGGATGGTTGGGCCTGTTGCAACGTGGGATAGCGTTGGACAGTGGATAGTTAATATTGATTAATTATTACAACTGTTTAAATCTTTCAACTTCTGTTTATAAATGCTCGCTTTATGCAAATGAACCACTCCAGCTCTTCTTTGATAATTCCCTGCATCATACCCCTATTCCAGTATGACTTGCTGAGTACAGTGGGTAGTACTCAGTCTTGCTCTATTTTTCCCAACCCCAAAGCTCGAGTATGTGTCAGATGAAGGTTTCTCCGAGGAGTAGGCTTCGTCCGTGCCGTCGAGGATGCCTGTGGAGTGGTGTTCCCGCTGCAGTTCTAGTCAAGGCTTAGCTCCTGTTGTCTTTCTTTTCTTCCGCTGCATTTGTGTAAGACTTTTATGATGTTTGTAAGACGTGGATCTGAATGTCAACATTGTCGTTTGTGTACCCCGGCCGGTCCTGGACGGGGATTTTAATGCACATTCTGCTTGGAATTCTACTCGGGAATTTCCGGGCGTGACAGCCACTGACTGGCTCCGCCGCCCGCATCGCCGATCTACTCTTCAACTTCACGTCAGAGACCACTTCGCCGCCTCCGCGCCGATTCCGACGCCTGCCAGAACACATTGCCACCATCACCCTCGTGCCCGATCTTCGCCTGATCTCCTTCGTGCTGCCGGACAACATCTCCGCCATTGCTGTATACTTCTTTGCCAATCACAATTTTCTGCCTCCATGGTCACATTGCCTCTAGATACGGTTCCTTCACCGTCGACACCAGTTCCGTGGACCACGTCCACACCGCATCTCACATCCCTGGACGCGAGCCACCAGCAACAAGGCATTTCAACTTCAGGTTTGGGAAATGTTTATGTTCGATGGTAAAAGAGTTCAATGGAAATGGTAGGACTAATACATATAAATTTATGTTCGATGGTAAAAGAGTTGTTTTGCATTCTATGACTCCAGCTGCTGCTTTGAAAGATGATCTTGCAAGACTTGAATATGAAAAGAAAGTGAAAAGTGAAAATCAGATTATTGCTAAACATTCTGCTTCAACTAGTAAAATAGAACCAAGTACCACAAAGAATGAAATTAAGTTGGAGGGTGCTTTGTTGGCTTCTAAATATAATATTTGTGCACTAGATGAGCCAGATTCTTGTTGCTATGCTCTATTTTGCAAAGATCCTACACTCACATTGGCTACTGCTCCTAGTACTTTATATTCTTTGCAACCCGCTGTTACTTACCTTTTGCAGGAATATGAGGATGTTTTTCACGATGAGATACCTCCAAGGATGGCCACTGGACGAGAGAGTGCACACAATCAAGAAGATGGGATTGAGTCGAGGACAACTCCAATTCAAGAAGGGGAGGATGATGAGGACATCACTTCGTCGGATACGCTCATAACTTCACACGTTCCAATGATAATTACAAGTCCAAGTCCAGTTCGGCCTCTGGAGACAGCACTGACTGCAAACGGACCTAGCGCCTTCATGCCAACTCCGATTTGGGTGATCTTGGACTTCGTGGAAAGATTATCTCGCTACCTTTCAAACGCATCTGGTCTTATGTCCAAATTCATCTCGAGTCAACGGGAATCGCCAAAACAAGACAGTGCTATTGCTGAAACCGAACTTGGGCCTTGGGTCTTGTAATAGACTAGGCCCATCTCGAAAGTGTCTCCCTCCACTTCCACGAATTAGCACTTAACCCTAGCTTTATTTTCCTCTACATATAGCTTTGTACATCCTCAAAAATAATTGGGTTTTGTTTAGTTGAATTTTGCCAAGTGCCATTCACCTTGTCTCTAGTCCTCGCTCGATTAGTCGGCGACTATTGATTTAGAGCCCCCAATAGTTGGTGTGTTGATTTGCCGGGTCGATTAGATCTACCACTTTAATCGTAACTATTCATTTGTGCTTAATCACCTATTCGCAATATTTAGATTGCATCTTATCTTGTTCTTGCAGTGTTCTCTCATTTGCATTGCAGGGATCATCAACCGCGCGTCACGGTTGGTACGACATCGTTTGTGGTGTAGCGATTGCACGGCGTCCCAGACTTGTTCTGGTTGGTAGCCACGTCGCAAACGTCGCACTCGATCAAAGCGAGAGTTATCCCCTCACCAGAAGATCGGGCTACGAGAGAGAGCGTCATCAGGATTATTCCGATTTATATTTGAATTGAGGTTGAGATTTTGTTCTTGGTAGGATTGGATTGTAATGATGTGGGATTTGGAGAGGAGGTGCGGGATGAATCGAAATAGGAAAAATTAGTCCGTAATGATGGACGAAAACGCAATGAAGGACACATGTGACGACCGGAAAAATACGATTCTTTATATTAGTTAAGATTTGACTGATATGTGAGCCCATATATTTTGTTTTAATTTTTGAATTTTTTAAATCTCGATTCTAATTTCACATCAACTCCCTATGGGATAAGGACCAAGTCGAACCATCCATATAGACGCGGCGTCAACCGAAACCACCATCCAAACGCCTTGAGACATTATTTAAGTTAAGAAACGTGTGATGAATTTTGAACTCAAATTGAGGAACCGTGAACTTATTCCACAAAGAAACGACGTTGAGATGAAACCTAATGGGCTGGCTTCCCTACATAAGCACACAAATCCATGCTTAGTGGGCTGGGCCAGTGGGCCGTCTCCATAATTCCATGCTTCTGTGTCTGTCTTCTACTCGATCTCCTACCCTGGCACTATATTATAAATTTAAAAATATATTCATTTAATTTTTAAAAACACTTCTATATAGAAAATATGTACACAAACGTATCATTTAGTAGTTTAAAAGCGTGTTAACGGAAAACGAGAAAAATACTGTTTTAAGTTGCTGAAAAAAATAGTTACGAAGAAAATTCGGGCAACTACCACGTTTCAAATATCTTCTATTCTGAGGTCGTTACGTCGACATTCATCAACATTTGCTGCAGCCGTTCCAATTCTTTTCGATACGTGTCGAGGAAATGAGGGGTAGATAGTACATGATATATTATTGAGGCGCATGCAATTGTAGATAGTAGATGATATTTCTGAATTTATTGTACACATGTGTGAAAGAACCGCGTTTCAAACTTTCCCCTCTCGCGTCGCCTCCCCCAGGCGACTCAGGAGGCGACGCCGCCGCCGTCTTCCTTCCCCTAAGCGCCTCCTCCCCTGCCTCGCGCCGCCTGAGCGGGCGCTGGCAAAGCCGTGCGCTCGCAAGGACGGCGGCGGCGAGGACTCGTCTCACCTCGCCTCGTGTTCGGCGGCAGGGGGCGCCGTTTCGGAGCGGCAGCGGCGGCGCCCAGATCCGTGCCGGGCCCGGCCGGATCTGGGGAGGAGCAGCCGGCAGTGGGGAATGAAGGTGGCGGCGGGGGTGCTTGGTGGCGGACGCGGCACTGCGGAATTTGGCGGCGACGGTGGCGGCGTTTTTTTGGCAGATCTGGACAGCGGCGACGGTCGTGGCTGGCGGTGGCAGGCGTGTTGGCGGCGGCAGATGGCGGCAGGTGACGGCGGTGGCTGACGGCGATGACGACATTGGCTGCAGCTGCGACGACGGCAGCTACGGCTGGCGACGGTGGCAAATGCAGAGGCGGGGAAGGCGTCGTGCAGACGATCACTGGCGGCAGCAAGTGGAGGCACGACCGAGGTTGCGGTGGGAGAAGGCATGGCGGTCTCAGACGGCTAGCCGGAGGCGTGGAAGACGGCCGCATTTGGCCGGCGCGGTGGCGATTGGAGGAGGGTCGGAGGTCGGCTTGGCGCAGAGAGGCGCAGCCGATGGCGGGAGGCCTGATTGGCGCGAGAGGCGCGTCCGGTGGAGGTTGTTGGCATGGCGCGAGAGGCGCTGCTGGCTGCGACGGAGGCCAGCTTGGCGTGGGAAGCGCGGCCGATGGAGGGAAGTCGGATTGGAGCAAGAGGTGCGTCCGGTGGAGGAGGCTGGCTTGGCGCGAGAGGCGCGGCCGGCGATGGAGGAGGCGACCTCGGAGTAAGGAGGAGCTACCAATGGATGTGACGCGGTCTTTGGCGCACAAAGGCTGGCCGGCGGGGGGGCGCCGGTGTAGTGGTCCCATATGTCGGCAGAGGATGAGTGGTGGTGGAGCATTGGTGTGTTAGCCGTGTATTCGCAGGTGGTGAACGGCGGGTGAAAATCCAGTACGGCCTTGGCCGGACCGACAACGATGGTTAATACCCCCTCCTAAGGGCGTTGTCGTGCTGTCTCACCGCTCAAGGGTAGTTGTCGGGCGAAAGCCCAGTCTTGGCTCGGTTGAGCCACGACGGACGGCGGTGGCGGTTTTCCGTCGCTTCTCTTCTTGAAGACGTCGTTTTGGCATCCCCTAGCCGAAGCCCCTCGATCGACTGGTGCAAACACGCTCTAGGAGTTGGCTTTGCGTTGGTTGTGAGGGCGTTTCTTTTGGGCGATCTCGTCTGTAACGCCCCGATTTTCGGTCGGGATTAAAAATAATTAAATAATGCATTTTCTAGAAATTAAATAAAAATTAAATCAATTTAATCAAGTGAAATTATAGAGGAAATGAAAATTTCCTTCAAAAATCATTGGCTGAGAATATTTTGTAATATTCTTTGTGCCCTAAAATACTCTCCAGATTTTTTCCGTGAATTTTCGGAGCTCAAGAAATAATTTTAAAGTCACAAAGTGCATTTAATCAATTTAAATAAAAAGAAAAAAAAATTAAAAGACTCTCCTTTCCCTTGGGCCATTTTTTGGCCCAAGTCCTCCCTTCCTCGGGCCGGCCCAGCTCGCTCCTCCTCTCTCTCAAAGTCCGGCGCACCTCCCTCTCCTGGCCTCCCCTCTCCCTCCCTCGCCGACAGGTGGGCCCGTCGACCCCACTTGTCAGCTCCATCCCCAACCTCCAGCTCCATCCCCAACCGCCGCCCATGGCCGTCCACTACACCGCCAAATCCGCCACCTCCTGTCTCCCGAGTTTGCATTCAACCGCGTGGACTCGGTCCCCTCCACGTCCTCCACCATTTTCCCCACTCTCCCCATGAAAATCGGCGCCGGTTAACCCCTCCACCACCCCCACGTTGGCGCCCTACGTCGCCGGCCGTTTGCCGCCCTCATCGGCCACGATTCTCCCTCCCCGAGCATATATAAACCATTCCCACACCTCCCTCTCCATTTTCCCCTCTCTCCGGAGCCCTCCCGTGCCCAAAAACCACAGCGCCACCGCCGCTCCTCGCCTCCGCCGCTCGCTGGCGATTTCCAGCCGCCCCTCACCGCTGCTCCAGCCGTCGCCGCGCCGAGCCGCCGCCACCGCCAGCTTCGCCACCGCAAGGGCAAGCCCGGCCGCCTCTTATTTCCCCCTCTCCACCCCCTGAGCACCACTCCCGCCGCCAACCCGAGCCACCGCCGCTTCTACCGCCTCCAGTTGCCCGCCACCGCCGCACGCCACCGTTGGTCCCACTGGCTTCGCCATGCCTTGCCGCTTCCCGTCCACCCCTCCTCCTCCAATCATCACCGAAACTCCACCTCCGCCGTGCACTCGAGGCCGATGCTGTGTTTGGTGCCTCCAGCCGCTTGCCTCCGGTGCTCGGAGCCACGTCCGGCAGCGCCGACAACCCCTCCGTCTTCGCGGTGTCGAGCCGCACGACGGCCACCCCTCCCTCTTCGTTAATCGCCGTCGGAACTCCGTCCCCTTCGCTTGAGGTGAGCATCTGCCGTCCCCTCTCATCTCCGGTCGGCGAATCACGCCGCCGTGAGCCACCTCTCCCCCTCCTAACCCCTCTCCCTCCATCCCCAGGTCGCGGCCGCCCTCGTCCGCCGCGTCCCGCCCATGGAGCCGCCACGGGAGCGCCGTCCCGCCGTCGTCCCGAGGAGCTCGCCGCCGCGCCCGTCGCCCCTCACCGCCTGGCGCACGGTGAGGCCTCCTTCCTCCTCCCCTTTTCCCCTCTGCCTCCCGTGTCCGGCGCCGCGTCGTGCCGCCATCGCCGGCGGGCGTCCGGCCATCTGCCGCCGCCGTCTTGCCCGGCGGGCTGGCGAGCCAGCCAACCCCCTCTGCCACTTTAGGGGCACCGCCCGTGGACCACCCCGTGGTCCCGGTCCACGGTGCACCGCCCTTCCCCTTTGGCTGACGCGTGGGGCCCGCCTTTGGTGCACTCGGTCCACACCCGCCCCTCGCTGACGCAATAATCCTTGTTCTCTTGTTGTAAAATAAATAATAATTGTGTAATAAATTGCATTTAATTATAGAAATCCATTTAAATGGCTCAAAACTTCTAAAATTCATATCTAATTCATACGAACTCCAAATTGGGCCATTCAACTTGCAAAATTCATCTAAAATTGAGTTCTACCTGTTTTGTTTACTTTTTATGTACTGTTTTCTTGGTTTTTATTAGGGTTTTTCCTCGTTTTGCGTGCCAGCGTGTAGAATCCGCTGTTTCGGAAGTTCGCAGTCGCGAGGAAAAGAGTTCAGAAGGTTGAAGTGAAGAAGCAAGGCAAGTCACACATTCCCCCTTGAGCATGTTGATCCCAATTTGTAAATGTTTTACCGTTTACAAATAAATATGCATGTTTTGCTAATTACATGGGATCCGGGTATTACCTATCTGCTTGCTTGTACCATGTTTACTTGATATCCGTTCTTTGTTAAACTTTTGTGATAATTCGACTAGCTCGTGTTACTTATGTGACCTACTAGAATTATATGCTTAGCCATGCTTAATTACCACTAGCTCAGTTGATGGGATAATTATAGTTTTAGACCTCTTAGCATCATGACGAGGTGCGTACTCGAGACATCCAGCCATGTTTCGTTGGTCGTAATTATCCAACTAAAATGCGACTTATTGATGGGCTGTGGGTGCATGGTTTTGCTGGTCGCACCCATGGCAATTAAGGACCGGTTCGCGGGATGCACTGGAAGACATACAGCGCTTGCCACAAGCGGGAATGGGTAACTGCCTGACTTGAAGTATAGCTTTCGTCTGGCTGACGTTCCCAGGCAAGGGTGGGCGTAATAGAGTTGGGTCGGCCGGGGTGTTCGGTTGATCGGCTTTCGGATTCACCGTGGCACGAGAGGGGACTGCCCGCTGCCTTGCGAGGAGTGGGGGTGAAACCTGAGGTGTGGTGCGATTGGTCAGAGAGGGTTATATGAAGGGTCTTGTCATAATCACTCGACATGGTGACGTGTGCATCATGGGCACATGATGACGCGGTGACATGCCGGTGGATTGTGTCTTGTGGGTACAGTTGTGCACTTCTGGCTAGAGTAAAACTATTCGAATAGCCGTGCTCGCGGTTATGGGTGATCGACCAGATTCACCGTGATTAGTCTCACCCCTAATAAATCGACCCAATGCACTGTAGTTCAGGTGGGTTGGTTGGGCCTGTTCAACGTGGTGTAGCGTTGATCAGTAGAGATTTAATATTACCTTAATTACTTAACAATTTTACTGTTTTGGTCAATAAAATGTTTTACAACCGCCTTTATGCATATAGCCACAAGCCAATCTTGAATCCTCTTGCACGTCTGCATCATTGGTGTGGCTTGCTGAGTACGGTGGTTGTACTCAGCCTTATTCCCTTTTTTATAAGTGCAGTGCTTCTGAGCTGAAGATGAAGTTAGAAGACCAAGGCTCAGACCCCAGTTGAGTTTTGCCTGTGGAGTGGAGCTGAAGCCCCGCTAGGATCGCCTTTTTCCGTTGCTGTCGTTCTCTTTCGGTGTGAGGACTAAGTGCCTCTTCTGTAAGTATTTTACGCTTTATTTACGTTTGGAACTGTATATTACTTGTCGTTTTGTGTATCCTGGCTGGTTCTAGACAGGGATTTAATACGCAAAATAGTCTGGAAATTTAGGCTAAATTTCTGGGCGTGACATCGTTTGTGTTCCTTTGTTGGTTAAGTGGCGATCGGTCACGCTTAGCGGCGGCCGGTCCGGTGTTAACCTTCTCCCGGTCTTGTGTGTTGGTGCTATCGGTGTGTGGGTGGTGGTATATTTTTTTCCTTTTCTTGGTTACGGCCCTCCAGGGTTGTAATCTTGTAATTTTTTCCTGCTCTATCAATAGAACTTCGCACCGTCTCGTGCGAGTGGTTCAAAAAAAATTATACACATGTGTGCACTATGAATGGACCATATGAACCATTTATCGAAAAAGAGAGACCATCTTTAGATTATACAGGTGTAGATTATACAGTGGCTGTGAGGCCATTCACACTGCGATGAGTAGAAAATCGGCGTGCTGATTGGCACGCCTGCCAATTAGCTGGTACAGCATAGGTAAAATTCATACTTCAGTATAGCATCTTTATGATATTTTAGTTGTTGTGGTAGTAGTATTGGTTTATTTTGTCCATTGATTTCGTTCGTAATAATTATTTTAGACCTTTGATTTTTTTTTCATAATATATTATCAACAACTATAAAGTTAATATCAAATAAAAATATATTTAAATATAAATACTTCTTTCAGGTTGGTAATACTTGCCTTACCGTTTTGGACAATGATACGGCCTAAAAAATAACTTTAACTACTAATTTTTATTACAATATAATATATAGAAATATCAATAAATTATGATTTTATTAAACTACTTTTAAGACTAATCCATACGTATGCTCTCCATACTTCTAAGGTAACTATTTTAGATATTATTTATAGTTAAAGTTTTAAAATTTGACCATAGCTTTATCCAAAACAAGTATTACTAACGTGAAGGGAAGGAAGTATAATGATACTACATCCAACATTAAATTTTAGTTCAATTATTAGTCAGAGTTTTTAAATATTGAATTTCGTAAAACCAAACCTTATATTACAACTGAAGGATTAAACTCCTACTGTGGTTCCCTTTTTGAAAGTGACTGTTTTCCATATTATCACTGTGGATAGTTTATTTAATTAACGGGATAAATTAATATTTTAAAAAAATCTAATTCACAAATAGATAACACTTGTGGTCAAACAAATGCATTAGAAGAAAGTTGTTTTAGAAAATGTATTTTTAAAAGCATGTAGCAAATAGCCCATTTCAAAAATATGGAAAACACAATTCTGAAAAGAACTGGCCTAACTAGTGCCCTACCCTCTCCGTAAAAAAACAATTTCTCGAGACGAATTTGGACAAGCATCTGTCCACGTTTATTCTCATAAGTTATTTTTTTCCGATACGGAGGGTGTACATGCATACTTCGTAGGCAAAGAGCAGATGAATCAACAAATGACAGTACATTGCTCATACTGGTACCAGGCAAGTATATGTAGCAGCACCTCCTCTGCGTGTAGCCGTGGATCAACAAGTGACTTTTGTTTTGGAATTTGCAACACACAGACATGAGCCCGCGTGGCTCTTCGTAGGTGAATTTTTTCTTCCTCAGCAAATCCACTTTTATCTTCAAAATATCTAACAACTCCACGTGGCAGAATTTTGGAGATTTTTAACTAAATTTTTGGCTGCCACATGGTCCAATGACAAGGTTAATTCTGAACCTCATTTTTGCATGAGGACAACTTAAGACCCGCATGGGAAAATCGATTTTTCCATACGGACGTCTTAATGAGCCATATGTGAAAATCGATTTTTTTCATAATAGAGGTTTCTCTTTTTAATCTTTGACTAAGACTTGGAACTAGCCTTTCTCCCTCATACTAACTTCAAATGTGTTGATTTTTTTCCTAAATGTTTCTAAAATCATGCTTTATCATGTTATTTCTTACTGCTATTATTTTGGCCATTCTTTCTCGTGACCTTATTTTATCAATTAAAAATTTGAATTTAAAAAATGGCATCTTCAAATAATATTTTGAAGCAATAAATAATTTCAGCTGAAAATGCCATGAACATAAAACTTGTAGAACTCATTAACAGATACAACTTTTATTTTGGTCATTTCTTTATCTGACAAAATGATAGTAACATTGTTCACAAAATTTGCATATCCCTCTTATAGTTTATAAAACTATATAAAATATATGTAAAATTCGTGAACAATATTATATCACTTTGTTGGATTAAGAAATGACCAAAATAAAAGTTATAGATCTTGATGAGTTATACAACTTTGTTGCTGATGACTTTCTCAGTTGAAATCATTTAGTATTTCAAAATATTGTTTGAAGTTGTCATATTTTGAAATTCAAATTCAATATGTACAAACAAAGTCATATAGAAAAATAACCAAAACAAAAGTTGTATATCTTGATGCGTTATACAACTTTGTTATTGACAATTTTTCTATTTGAAATCATTTACTACCCAAAAATTACTTGAATTTCATATATTTTAAAATTCAAATTTTATACAGTTCAATCAAATTCGGATGGAGAAATGACTAAAAGAAAATTAGTAGATCTCAATGAGTTCTACAACTTTGTCCTTGACAGCTTCTTCACATGAGTTCATTTAGTATCATAAAATTCGATTCGAAGTTCTCATTTTTTCATATTAATTTTTTAATGACTATTTTCGCATGCGGACGCTTAAGTGGTCCACATGTAAAAATGCTCACTCTTTTTTTTTTCTCCTCCTCTCTCTCTTTCCCTGCTTACCACTTCAATTTTTTTCACCCCTCTCCTCTCTCTCTCCAGATATTTATTTCTCTCCTCTCACTCTCCTTGTAATACCCCGTATATTAAAAGATATTTAGGTTTTTTTAGTTTGGGTTGACTTGTTAAAATAAAGATGTTAACAGATATAAATAAAAGAAAAATATCTTTAGAAGTGGGCCAACATAAGAAGGCCCATAAATCCAGCCCATTAGTTCTCCCCTAAAACCTAGAGAGAGGGGAACAGAATCCCACCTCCGCTCATAGTGCCGCCACCCCTCTCCCTGGCCGGCGCCTCCTTCCTCCCCTCCTCCTGTGTTCGCATCTCTCAATCTGCAACAAATTACTCTCCCTAGATCTCCACCTTCATAGCTTGGATCAAGAAGCGAAGTAGAAAAACGGAACGAGGAGGAGGAGAGGAGTAGAAGGAGGGGTTAGACCGGAGTCTCTTCTATTGTCTCCTCACAAGTTCTCTAAAGAAATCCTAGGTGAGGCTTATCCCCTTGTTGTATCAGTTGTTCTAGCATGGTTTTAGTGCATTAATTCGTGGTTAGGGAAGGATAGAGAAGGAGTTTGGGTAGCTGCGGTTCGGTTTGTTGCAGTTTTGCATGTGGGCAGATTTGCAGTGCTTCAGTGTTTCGATGTTTCGGGGCTCTAAATGTTAATTTCTGCAAAAGTGTATAACTAGGAAATTGTACATAATGTTTGGATATATCTTCTGACCAAGGGACGTGATTTTATCTCAAGTGGTTTAGGAGATATAATTTTTTTAATATGACTGTTGTTTTTGTGTCATAATCTTGAAAGTAATAGATTGAACTGTTTTTGGAGGGGCTAAATAGTGGAATCAGCCAGGCCGCCTATAGACAAAGTTGTAGAGGCTTTTCTTAGCTTTCCATATTTGTAAAGTACACCCTGATTGGGCGAGTAGAACTCCAGTTATGGTTGTTTTAGTGTGGACAGTCTGAAATTCTGGACAGATTTTAAAGCCTGCTTTCAAGCGCAAATTAGACCATTTAAATGGCAGAATAAAAATATGCTTTCTACATGAAAGTTGTAGGTATTGTTCTTTAGATTTTCAAAATGTATACATTTTCAGTCATAGACTGTTCATATTTCAAGATATAAAGGTTTGAAGCAATAGTCTTGTGTATAGTCCAAGCGGCGTTCCTTGTTATTGAATTTTGATGGGATGGGGCAGTAGATTCACCTTTTTCATTGTTTTATACGCATGTTTGAATGTGTTTGCTGAGGTTTTGTTTGTGATTAGGTGGTGGTCCATCAGATCGTGCATGATACCAATCTTTCGTTGGAGGCAAGTGCATGATGAACTAATTGTGTGATTCATAGATTGTTTGCTCTATCTATCTATTTCCGTTATATTTCTATGTGGTATGTGACTGGTTATGTTCAGACTGTTGTTAATGCCATTTAGATTTCAAATTTATCTTATGTCACGACATTATTCATGTTTTATTATTTCGGATGTTTTATTTCTATTATTCAAGGACCATGCGTAGTCATGGGAGTGCAATGTGGATCTTTATTCATGTTCCTGTGAGTAAGTGCTGATCACGCTTACTCGGCTTTGCCAGCAAATGCTAGGATGTATTCACTATTGTCTGGGATGGAAACTACTATTTCAATTCAGTCCTGCCCGGGATGGGAACTACTATCTTCTTTGACTTGGTGTTTGGAAATGTGTTTCCTATCAAAGAAAGAAAGCCTTCTGTTCATGCTTTATTGTCAATGATGTGTATATGTGTTTTCTAGTTCCATATTGTACTTGCTGAGTATTTTTATACTCACTCTTGTGTTTTACTTGGTTTTAGGTATGCATTGAGACCGACATGCATGGGCGGGAAGTAGCACCCTTATATACACATCTACTTGCACACTATCAAACTATATTGCTTAGGTCCATAATGACACTTAAATTATATCCTGGTTTGGTCTTGTAATAATCTTTTAGATTTCTAATAGTTTCTTTCATTATAAGGATGGATCGTATTGTGGGAATGATATTGTTATTAGTTTAACTTATAATTACCTATCGTGGATGTCCATATTTATAGGGGAGACTATGCCGAAATTTCTAATAATTTTGGAAGTTAGTGGTTTGAGTGTTTTTTGGTGTGGCACTCTAGGTACGTGGTTACCTGGGGTGTTACACTCCTCTCCTCAATCTCTCTCCCCCTCCGAGTGGGTGGCAGCGGACAACATTGCGACCTAGGGCAGCGCCGCCGCCACCATCCCTATCCCAATCCGGTGTTGTCGCCACTGACGACGACGAGGAGGTGCTCGGCCGGAAGAGGGCGGCTCCATCCTCAACACCGCTACCAATGACAAGGAGACGGCCAGGGGTCCTCGGTCGGCCGACGGCAGGCCGCCTCGGGCGTGGCGGGTAGCAGCGGCGCTAGCCGGCCATGCTCGGCCGGGAAAGGGCGGCTCCATCCTCAACACCGCCGCCAATGACAAGGAGACGACCAAGGGTCCTCGGCCGGCGGTCAGCGGTAGCTTCGTCGGGCATGGCGGCTGACGGCGGGCTTCCTCGGTGTGAATCCGGCGATGGGCTGTGAGCGCCTGGGCGACCTTGCTGTGGATCCGGCGGCGGGCGGTGAGTGGCGAGCGGCTGGGCGACCTCGCATTGGATCCGGCAGCGGCGGCTCGTCCTGTGCGGATCCGGTGTCGGTGACAACGGAGGGCAATGGGAGCAGCGGATTTGATGGCGGCGGCGCGCGGTGGAGCCGGGAGCTAGGACGCCGATGCGGATCCGGCAAGGAGGACGGCTGCCTCGGGCAGCGGCAGCGGCGCCGCCTCGTGCAGATCTGCCGACAACGGTGGCAGGCTAGGGTTCTGCCGGCGGCGGGCAATGGTTCGGCCGCCGTCGGGTTTTTTCATTTTTATTTTTTTCGCTGAAATTATTTTCGCATGCGGCTAGTATAGGGGACCGCATGCGAAAATGGGATTTTTGTATGCGGTTGTCCTGGCCGCATCTAAAAATCTGATTTTCGTAGACCTTTTAGTACATGCGGTTGGGTTGGCCGCATGCAAAAATCACTTTTTGACTGTATGGAAAAATGACTTTTGTAGTAGTGTTGTCCGTTGATATCAGGCAAGTGAAGGGACGGCTGTGGAGATGGCGTCACACCCGCGCGTGGGAGGAGAGGGCCTCGCCGTCGTTGGAGCTCGTCACTGCTGTCCACCTCCTCCCCATCCCTACGAGTCGCCATCGAGCTTGTCATCCCCATCTAGCGACGAGGAGGCGGCAGCAGCTGGGTGGATCTGTGTCGCGTCTGCTCAACCCTTCGCCGTGCCGCCACCGAGCTTGAGGGGAGAGGGGACATCGTCATCAGATGTCATCGCTGCCGACAACAACTAATTTTGAATTCGTGAGGCGTGGAAGAGAATTCTGCTCTCTATTATCAGGTAGTATTAGCAAAATGTGAAAGCACTGATGGTCTGATGCATACTCATCAAGGAAGCACTGCCAGCAACCGGGGCCTCAGATGGAAGGAGCTAGATGGACAAATGGCCGAATTGTCGAGGTGTCTAACTTAAATTTTTACGGCGACACATGGCCCTATTGGAGGCTTGATTCTTGACCCGGAAATCGTATAAGAGATGTGACACTGAGCTCTAGGCTGCCGGTCCACCTTAGCCCAGATCGTGACCTTGTGAGGCTCCTCTTGTCTTGTAGAGGGCACGGTCTCTTCATCAAGGAGAAGCCACATGAGGAGTAGGCCATACGTTGTGGAAAAGGGCATGCTCCTGAGTGGTCCCCCGAAAGGGTGTGCCACCCATCCCCTCGATCAAGTAGGCAGAGGGACTAACACACCTAGAGACATCAATACATGTCGTTGTTATCAATTCGGGTTGTCACAAGCTATTCATCCGCCTAGACCACCCTAGACAGATTCGCCATCGAGACAGAAGATTCGCCTCCGAGGCCCTACAAGAGAGCTAAACGATGCATCGCCTCCATCTGCGCGCCTGTTGCCCCGATCCACGCCAAATCAAGGTCTATCAGCCAGCAGCGCACGATCATACCATTCGGACCTCCTCCAGCCCTAGCTGCGCCAATCCAGCGAGGAAAGGAGCTCAAGACTGTCACAGTGTCACGCCCCGAAGTTTCCCCCTTTTTCTTGCTTTTAAAAAATTGGTTAAATAAATTGCCCGAAGAAATTGTTTAATTAACCTAGAGTTAAACCCTAATTAATAAATGCAATTAATAATCGAAAATAGTGTGGTGGAATTTTTCTTGAGTTTCCCATGCCCTAATGCATTAACAGAATTTTTAGTGGAATTTTCACAGCCTTAAAAGTAATTTTAACCAATTAAAAATGAGCAAGTGCAATATTTAATCCCAGGAAAAATCATCTCCTTTTTCCTTTTTCTTTTTCCTCCACTTTTTTCTTCTTGGGCCGTCGGCCCACTCCCTCCCGCGCTCGGCCTCCTCTTTGTTGGGCCGGCACATGCGCCCCTGTCGCGTCCCAAAACGACTCTAAAATACATCCTCAAAATTATGCATAGAATAAGTAAAATCCATGTGAAAGCCTCCAACAATTAAAATGTGCAAAGTTAAAAGTCAAATAAGGCTTGGAGGATTTTTGTATATTTTCTAAAAGCCTAAAATGCGTAAATAAATTTTAGTGGAATTTTCAGAGCACAAATAATAATTATTAAGAAATAAACAAAGTTAAAAAGGTTTTATGAAAAGAAAAACCCTAAAAACAAGTCCTTTTTCCCCCCCTTCCCCTCTTGGGCCGGCTCGGCCCACCTCCCTCCCTCTCTCTCCTCTCCCCCGCGGCCCAATCGGCCTCCTCCCCGCGCGCGTGCCGCTGACGGGCGGGCCCGCCCGCCACCCTCGCTGAGGGGTGGGGCCCACCCGTCATCCCCTACCTCCCGCCGCTCCCGCCGCCTCGCCCGTGCCCTAGCGCCGCCGCCGCCGCGAATCCCGCCGCCTCCCGCCGTCCCCGCGCGCAATAAAGAGGGGGAAATCATTCCCCGTGATTCCCTCTCCCTTTCCCCCCATTTTTCCCTCTCTCTCTCGCGTTCAAACGGGCGGATTTGCCCCCGCAAATCTCGCCGGCGCCATTGATGGAGCCCGAGAGCGCCGCGCCGGTTTCCTTCTCCCCCGGCCGCCCTCTCTCACTCCCAACACTATATAAACGCTCCCCGTGCCTCCCTCCACCGTTTCCGCCACTCGCCGCTCTCTCTCTCCGCCGGAATCGAGCTCGCGCCGTCGCTCTCTCTCTCCGCCGTCACCGCCGAGCTCCGGTCCGCCGCCGTCGTCGCCTCGGACCTTCTCTCGCCTCGGCGTCGCCTCCTTCGGCTCTGCCGCGTCCTCGCCGACCTCGTCCACCCCTCCGTTTCGCCCGCCGACCGCCGGAACGCCGCCGTCCCCGTCGACCCGTGCCGCGCCGCCGCCTTCTTCCGCTCCGGTCGCCGTTCCCGTCGTCGTCGTCGACCCGGGGTGAGCCGTGGACCGCCCATTTCGTTTCCCCATTCCCTCCCCTCTCTCGGCCGCCGCTCCGCCGTGCCTATGGCCGCCGCCGGCGACCATAGGGGCGCGGGCGCGTCGCCTCCCGTCGGCTGTGCCGGCGAGGCCGCCTTCGGGCGCGCCCCGCGGCTGCCATGTGGGGCCCGGCCGTCAGCCGCCCGCGCCCTCGGGTGCGGCTGACGCGTGGGACCCACGGCGCCGGCCGGCGTAAGCCGCGTGCACCCAGTCCACCGTGGACCGAGAGGCTGCCGCGTGGGCCCCACTCCCGTGGACCCGGTCCGCGCGCTCCTCTTTCCCGGCTGACGCAATAAATATGTTTTTAAATTAAAATTTAAATGAAGAAATTAGTAATTATCCATTTAAAGAGCATATAAACTTCAAATGGCCATAACTTGGCCATTTGAACTCGGAATTGGACCGTTCAAGTCTCTAATTTTTCCTTAAGAAGCCAAGAACCCATTTTTGTGCTTTGTTTCTGCTTGTTATATGGAGTTTAGTAGAGTAAAAGCCGTTTTTTTTCCGTTGGTCGTGTAGACGCTGCAGCTTCGGAAGATCCGCTCTTCGTGGAGGTTGAAGCCGACGTTTGGGAAAGCGAGCAAGGCAAGTCACATCATCTTTGAACATATTGAAACCCAGTTTGTAAAATTATGTTGATTAAACTTATTGCATTATCGCTTTATTTAAATTCCCACGTTATTACTGTTTTATTTAGCCATGCCTATTTACCTTTGTTATGACCTTATTATTATTGTTATTGTTATTATTTCCTTGTTCACCCTAGAATAAACAAAACCCCAACTAGTGGACACTCTACTCATGGTATCACTAGTATGATTTTAGGTAGATGCTTCGCTTTTAATTAGGTAACATTAGGCGGTTTTACAACTCTAGACTTTGGGAATATTCATATCACCTGGATACTATGGAATGGTTTGGTTATTGTGGAATTGGCTTCACACCGCTCCTTCTATTCAAAATCCCCAAAAATGGTTTTAGGCTGGGCTCGGGGTGCATGGTTTTGATAGTAGCACCTCGGCCATATAAGGACCGGTCTTCGGGCCTCTGTTGCAAAGCACTACCGTACTTCCACATGTCTAGTGGGTAAGGCTTAGTTTGTGGCTCAGTCTAGTCATAAACAAAAGTACACGGATGGAGATGGAAGAAGTCGGGGGTCGATGGACATCTCTAGGACAAATGAAGGCTACACGAGCTGCGGCCCGGTAGTCGAGATGTCATGGCACAGGGCCGGTGTCCTGCTGCTAGGGGCTCAGTCCTGCCTGCCTGTCCCGGGGGTTCCGGCCGTAGATGGGATTGGGTCGGTACTCTTGTCTATGGCTAGGATGGGTTGGAAACTATGTCACGTCTTCCGTCTGTATACCGTGGTGGTATGTGGCACGTGGTGACACGTGAGGAAGATGTGTCTTGTGGGTAAAGATGTACACCTCTGATCAGAGTATAATCTATTCGAATAGCCGCGCCCTCAGTTATGGGCAAGCCGAGCAATGTACCCAAGTTAGTGTTTTAATTCTTAAAACCTGCTTAACAACT